TAAATAAATCAATAAATCCACTGCTCTCTGGGACTCTAAACAGTGTTCTGTGCTCGTCTGTGCAGCCAAAGACAGAACAGTTAGCATGTTTTGCTCAAACTTTCGCCATGGCATTAGAACTGGTACACCGTTGTCGCTTGCGAAAACACAATGACGGCACTGTGGGTGTAAACTTACAGATTAAGGGGCGGTAATATTATAATGAGATCCCTTTGCCACGTCACCAAGGGAGCAAAATCGGACGCGCTGGTTTTCTCAGACACTTGCAGAAAAAGGCTTATCAAAACAAAGTTACTGGGTTAATCTTTTTCACGTTTCCTTGGTTGGTAGATGCACCGGGGACCTGATTATAGCACTTAAAACCTGGAAAAGTCAGATTTTCATGATGTGTCACTTTTAAGGAAAATGAGAAATGTTGCTGAAATTAAAATAAAATTACTAAATAAAAATGAAATCATAATTTAAGTCATTTATATTTTATTTTATTTCTGTTCTTATTTATTTATTTTTATTTTAGTTTTAGTTAACTACAATAAAACCTGGTGTAATGCATTTCTCATAGCTGCTTTTTTCTGAATTGCCTTCGGAGAGCAGCTCACAATCTTTATGTCTTATGCAGACAAGAGTCGCTCTGTTCGTGAAAACTTTTGGTAGTATATCCAAAGTGACAAATACTCAATGGCATGTAAAGCTTTGTGAATGTGAAAGAAACCTGCAGTATAGGGGATGAAATCCAACTTGGGTTTTTGAGTGTGAGAACAGCTCACACTGTGTCTCTAGTTTCTCTCTCCGCTTATGTAATAAACCAAAAGCATCTATCAGAGTAATGGGCTTGCTTTACGTCAAAGATATTAAGCTTCGCCACTACAATCTCTCAGGCAATTTGTCTAAATGGGCATTGGTCAGCCCCTGACTTGTGTTTTTTCCAACTCTGTATCATTTGGGTCTGTTTCTCTCTCCCTCGATCGGTTTTGATTCCCACCGCCTCCAGCCACAAACAGTGATGCAATCGACAGACTCCTGCGTGCAATAACAGGGCCTGGACAGCGCTAGTGGGGCAGGGCGCTCCGCATTTCTCTCACTGATTGAAATGAATAAAAAGAGAGCCCGAAAGAGTGGGAAAAAGAAAAGCAGAGGTCTGGGATGGTGAGAGCCAGACAGAAAAGAGACATCTCACATTAAGAGCTCATTGTTTGGATGTGGTTGGGCTTTCTTGGCTAATTTGTGCTTTTAGGACAGAAGCGGATGGTTTTCAGTGTTTAAGCATGAGGGTGGTGTATTGTCAGTGTTTTCGCTTTTCTTCAAAGGTTGACTTAATATTAAGGCATCTTCTAAATAGACAGGACTGTAATCTTGGAGAAGTGGGAAGAACAAGTTAAACAAGATCCATCCCTGACTAAAATGCTCTTCAGAAAATCTATATCCTAGTCTTCAGTGAGCTTTACTTTAACTTTAGTTTAGAGTAAATGTCCACAATGACCCTCAAAGCTTCTTCTGACCAGTCCTGGGCTCCATTGCAATGCTATTTTAGTATTATTTATATCATAGTTTGTATTAATATTTTGAATTAGCTTTTATTTTTATTTTCAGTTTTCTTTTTACACATGGATGTTCCTGTGGCTGTGGTAGAGCATTGCGTTAGCAGCGCAAAAGGTCGTGGATTCGATTCCCAGGGAACACACATACTGGTAAAAAATTTATAGCCTGAATGCACTGTAAGTCGCTTTGGATAAAAGCGTCTGCTAAATGCATAAATTATTATTAAAAATTATATATATATATATATATTTGTTTACTTGCACATCATGCGACCATTTACCAACACCAGAGAACATGCAAATGTGTTGCTAAATTATTGAAATATTAATTTGAGTAACATTTTAAGTTAAAAATTAATAAATTAATTTTACAAATATTTAAAAATAAATGCTATGCTAGTTTATAAAAAATACTACAATAACACTGAGTCTGACTGAAATCAAACTTTTAAAGTACTGTACATGAAAACAATTCCTACATGTAAATCATAAGGCACTAGAATCCCCAATAGAATTCCCTACAATCTGGCTGTTTAAGAAAACACAGATATGTGTCAGTGTGCTTGTCGGCTCCATGCAGTTGAAGCACAATTAATTCTCTCCATTTTTCCATCCTAGATTTTTGCAATTTGCTATCTAAAAACAGATTGTAAATGGCCTTTGACTGAACAGACCCCATCTCTCCACTCACCAGTGAACTCTAATGGACTTCAGCGTAGATGGCAAGCATGATTATGGTC